TCAGCAATGTTGTCTTATCTGCTATAACTAGCTCTTCTCATTCCATTTCTCCAAAACAGTGTCTGGAGGAAGGCTAGAGGGTAGTGAAAACAAGACCTCAACTAAGGCTTTCTAGTAAAGGATGCCTGTGGGACTGCATTATGCAGGAGGCTTAAGAGGGACTTGCGAATAACTGCAGGGGTGGAAGATGAGATGAAATGTGAACAGTGGCGTATAATTGGTCCATTTGAATGCTTAGGATTGGGGAATGTCCAGAATCCCCATTCCTTCAGGGTCTTTCATAGAATTATATACAATTTAATTTTAATTGCTTCATCAGCTCAGCACCCACACAGTGTATAGCAAAACCAGCTCACTCCAGTGAAAGAGCAGACAATGTTATAGATGTCACACATTTGTGAGGTAGAATGAACAATTTTGAAATCAAGTAGTTCAGACCAAAATTAGATTCAATGCAAAACTCCTACATTTGAATTTTAACCTCACAATTTTTATTAGAGAGCAATGAGATCTGTCTTAATGTGAAGGTTATTTTCTTTCTTTAATTTGAGGAGTTAAGAATAATGTTACACTTTTTTAGAAGCCAAAACCAAGTTTACTGGTTTAAAAGATAAATAGTCTGCCAGTGCTGAATGGCAGAAAAATACTTCCTATATATTCAAATTTCCAGTTATGTATGTGCACCTATAAACTTCCATAATAATCATGTTTCATTATGATCCATTAAGCTACATTTGATATAAATTAGAACTTCATATAGGTGTATTGCTGTTCTGTCAGATTTTGATTAAAACAGCTTGAATTTTTATAGCAGTTCTTTACAATTAGTATTATAAATTCTTTGCTACACTGGAGTGACACATTGGGGTTATGCTAGATACTCCTGTGAAATCGTTACATAGTGCTCAGCAGTGGTGGCAGAGAAAACCAAATCAATTTTTAATAGGAATTATTAGAAAAGGAATAGATACCAAAAGAGTGAATGTCCACTTGCTACAATACCAATCTGTAGTTCACTTTTGGTGCACAGTTCTGGTTCCTCCCAGAAAAAAATTAACTGGAAAAGGTTTGGAGAAGGGCAGCAAGGATGATAAAATGTAACAAATTG